CACACACACACATACATATACATATACATATATACACATATACACATATATATATCTGTAACGAGTCAGTAAACTGAAGGCGAGCGTAGTGAGAACCCAAGTGCAGTTTATTTAAAGTGAACAGACTTGACTAGGCATGAACAGACTTGACTTGACATGAACAGGCTTGAACAGACTTCACGAGGCATGAACAGACTAGACTCACCAACAGCGGGTTACAACATCAAAATAAAAGACATGGAAAACATGAACATGAAACAAAACCCAAACACCAAACCCCACATCACAATATATATCCTAAAAATATTGCTGTTCCAAAATATAAAATATAAAAATATTGAAAGCAAAAGAAATTAAAAGCAAAACAAAAGAAAAATGTTTCTAAACTCCGAACAGATGTTTAAATGTAGCTGCATATATTTGTAAACATGGTTTCTGCAGCTTAAAATTAATAAAAGGTCTTTATTCACTGCAGAGGTAGATTTGAGTTACAGTATGTTTTAATAGTACAATGAAAGTGTAAAAGTGTAAAGGATCTCTTGTAAAGGATCATTTGATTCAGTTCCTCGTGATTTGGCCCTCTTCTGTGTTTATCTCTGATCAATAAACATTCATAGTAAACACTTTCCTGAAAGCACTGGCTTGCACTGGATCATAGTGTTCTGTGTTGATATTTGTGATGCTATAACACATCTAATTTTGGTGATATTAGCACCACAGATCAGTTTTTTCTCTTTGCTAAGGAAGTGGTCTGACACTATTGGACTTGTGATCCAATCCCCTTCTCACCCACACTCTCCCAGAACCCAGTGGCACTGTAATTGGCACCCTCATGCAGGAGAAGCTATTTCAGCTATGGCAAATAGCTTCAAAATAGAGGGATCAAAATAGATTGTAATCTCCTCAGCCAGCCAATGAATCCTCATTGGTTCAAATAAGCAGAAAAAAAGGAATTCAAGTTGCTATCTGGTTAAGAGGGGCAAAGAGAAATTTCAGAGCGCATGTCAGCCCTGGAGGTAGAGGAGAGGAAAGGATCATGTCTCTCATCATGTCACCAGGAATGAAAACTCTTGTAGTCTGGCCACCCTGACAGGGGTATTACCACCGTGACAGACTCTCAGGTCAATGGAGAGTGCTTATCATCATGGCTATTTTATGAACTCTGAACAAAGCCAAGAGCAGGACTGAGTTTGAACAACACCAGGCGAAACATTTCCCATGAGTCAAAACAAAAGATAGCCAGCAGGGTGTAATTTAACGTCCTAGGGCTCCTTTTAACTGTCACCTAAAGGCACACTGGGCACCGGCAACCAACCAGAACATTATTAGAATGTCTCTCAAAGGTCCTGTGCCACTTCTAAGACCTAGGAATTCCTGTTATGTGTTTCATTAAATGCGATATGATCTACAATCCCTCTGTCTTCTCCTCGAGGACTAATTACAGAAGAACAGGAGTGTCAGCATTTTTCCAGCTCATCAACAACAAGCATGAAACAGCGTAATTAAATCCTGGCAAGTACTGTTCATAAACCAGGCATAAATCTCCACAAAAACCTTTAGTGAAGTCAGAAGCCACAGGGCCAATGATCTCGTTTTGCATGTCTCTCCCTCAATAGCTTGTAAATGAAACTAATGTGATGGTTAATCACTTTTACACAGCAAATCCTGATCTATGGTGCTCATTTATGTTGAGTTACCTCTTTATAGGATAGGCATGTTGAGTATTTGATTACAGAGGACAGCACAAATAATAAAACACAGGTTCAGCGGGTCAGATATTAATGAAGTGTCATATTGCACAATAGAATGATAATCGCTAAAGAAAAAAAGTGATTTAAAAAAATCGCTAAAGTGTTGGTAATTGTGTGATTAAGTAATTACAGTGGCAATACATTAAGTTTCAGCCTGCACCACTTGTCAGGACTATATGACTACAGTCGTTAACACTGAATAACCAACAGCTCTGAAACAATATTTATGCACTACCATTCAGACATCTGGGGTCAATCATTTTAGTTTTTTTATTTATTTATTTATTTTTTATATAATTTAATACTTTTATTCAGCAAGGATACATTCAATTGATCAAAAGTGACAGTAATAACATTATTAATGTTACAAAAGATTTTTACAGACAGTTCATTTGAAGTTTCTATTAATTAAAGAATACTGAAAAGATGTACCACAGTCTCCACAAAAATATACTGGTAAGATATCTGTACTTTTACTTGAGTATGGCTTTAAGGTACTTTATACACCACTGGTCAAAACAAAAGATGGCCAGCAGGGTGTAATTTACCGTCCTATAGGGCTCCATCTAACTGTCACCTAAAGGCACACTGGGCACTGGCAACCAAACAAAACATTATTAGAATGTCTCTCAAAGGTCCTGTGCCACTTCTAAGACCTAGGAATTCCTGTTATGTGTTTCATTAAATGCGATATGATCTACAATCCCTCTGTCTTCTCCTCGAGGACTAATTACAGAAGAACAGGAGTGTCAGCATTTTTCCAGCTCATCAACAACAAGCATGAAACAGCGTAATTAAATCCTGGCAAGTACTGTTCATAAACCAGGCATAAATCTCCACAAAAACCTTTAGTGAAGTCAGAAGCCACAGGGCCAATGATCTCGTTTTGCATGTCTCTCCCTCAATAGCTTGTAAATGAAACTAATGTGATGGTTAATCACTTTTACACAGCAAATCCTGATCTATGGTGCTCATTTATGTTGAGTTACCTCTTTATAGGATAGGCATGTTGAGTATTTGATTACAGAGGACAGCACAAATAATAAAACACAGGTTCAGCGGGTCAGATATTAATGAAGTGTCATATTGCACAATAGAATGATAATCGCTAAAGAAAAAAAGTGATTTAAAAAAATCGCTAAAGTGTTGGTAATTGTGTGATTAAGTAATTACAGTGGCAATACATTAAGTTTCAGCCTGCACCACTTGTCAGGACTATATGACTACAGTCGTTAACACTGAATAACCAACAGCTCTGAAACAATATTTATGCACTACCATTCAGACATCTGGGGTCAATCATTTTAGTTTTTTTATTTATTTATTTATTTTTTATATAATTTAATACTTTTATTCAGCAAGGATACATTCAATTGATCAAAAGTGACAGTAATAACATTATTAATGTTACAAAAGATTTTTACAGACAGTTCATTTGAAGTTTCTATTAATTAAAGAATACTGAAAAGATGTACCACAGTCTCCACAAAAATATTAAGCAGCACAACTGTTTTCAACACTGATGATAATAAGAAATGTCTCTTTAACACCAAATCAGCATATTAGAATAATTTCT